AAGGAGATTCCAAGTTCTCAGAGAACGCAGTAAGATCATTCCATAAATTTCTCCTAAGCATGACAGAGCATTTAGCATATACAGCAGTAATGTAATTCTCTTTATTATGCCTTTTGATCTTGAGAGTAAGGTGTTGTTCCTTGTCTTCAATAACATGACCTTCAATCTCACTTTTCCACAATCCCCAAATTTTACCATTCGAGTTAGCATAACAGTTTTCAAATCCCAGTCTTCTGCAATAATCTTGTACTTGCTCTTTATCTACAATAGGTTCCAAAATGAGTAAAATAGAAATGTGATGATTACGGATCAGGTTTCTAAGTCTTTTCATTGAATTGGAAATTCCTCTTAAATTCCAAATAAGTATGTTGAATTGCATAGTTAACGTTTGGATGGTCTCCCCCTTTTCTTCTTGTTGCTCTTGGGTTTCTTGTTGCTAACCTTAATGTCTTTTCCATCTGTGGCACTTTGGGTCTCTACTGAAGATATCCCATCCTCCACTTCTACCTCTTCCTCCTCCCTTTGTATGACTTCAAACGAATTTTGTTTTTTCAATAAGCTGCAGTTGGAATCATATAAGACCTTAATACCATTCATTTCTCCTGGTTCAAAGCTCTGATCTAGATTGCTCTTCTTATTCTGCACATTGACCTCCTCCAGTGGGAACTCTTTGATAATTTCCACACCAATCCGTTCCACCTCTTCACACTTTTGTAGGCAATCAAAATAACCTGAGTTTATCTGCAAGCTCAGATCCTCATTGGTTGTGCTGGGAAACTCTTCAGCCTTGTTTCTNTCATTGGTTGTGCTGGGAAACTCTTTAGCCTTGTTCCTTGTTTCACTAGCTTCCACATTAATTTCCTTTTGAGTAATATCTTTATGTTTCAGGGCTTCGGTGATAATTTCTCCTTCTTCATATTCGTTTATCTTGGAACATTCTCCTTTCAGCAATTCAACATGTTCATTAATTTCCCCCCCTTTTTTTATATGGATTAAGCTTTTATTGTAATTTTATAAATTTTGAAATTAAATAAATATTATATTTTTCATTTTTAATATAAATACATCGTAGTAAGAATTCGATAAAGCATTAAAATTTGAATCTTAATCATTATGCTGACTTGTTCTATCTTTTATTGTAGTCCAAACTATCCATAATCAAATGCGCCGACTTGGGGGATCGTCATATTCTTAATTTTTTTAGAAATTTATGAAGCAATTAATATTTTATAGAATCCACAATTTTTCAATAATACATTTCAAGAACTTTTATCAAAATTTGTTAAAAATTCAATTTTAACCTCCACCAAATAGGGACTAAAAAATGAAAGGCTCGATATTAGTTGGGTTGGGACTTATTTTACAATTCTGTTGCAGTGTTCATCCTAATGCTTTATTTTTTATATTGGTATTTAGCTTCAGTAATGTTTTATGTCAGTTTAGGTGAAAGAATTTGTGACATTTAAATAATATATTTAGCTAAATTTAAGGATCTTATTACTAAATAGAATCTTGGTCCAATCTCGACTCGGTCAAAGCATGTGGTTAATAGATCAGCGGTTCAATAGATAGGTCGCCGTCCGGTCTAAAGTGAAAAAATATATATATTAAAAAATAGCATATAAATTATAAGCTTGTAAGTTGATGTGTAATCTAGTTTAAAATCTAATTGAATACTATAGATTTCCAAATTTTCTCTTTTTTGAAAATTAAATTAAATTTTTATATTTCATTATTTTCTAAAGTAAGATGTCTGAAAAAAACTTTGAAAGAATGCAATAATAAATAGTATAGATAAATTATTTGAACCAAAGTTAAAAACTTCTAATTGAGGTTGTCTAGTGTTACCGAATTCCTTAATTAATTGACAGGTTCATCCGTCCAGTGTTTAAAATTTGACAATTACCTTTTGATAAAATGTTTTGCTAGAGTTGGCCCTGTTACTCCAGGGGTGCATGTGGCTGCCCTGTTCGTCCAGGGCCACTGGACGAATAGCAAAACTCTTTGATAAATTATCAAATGATCGACCATTTTTTGGAAAAATTTGTCGATTTTAGGGGTACACAACTCGGTTCAAATGGGTCAAATCAAGTCAAAGGTACTAATTGGATCGGACCAGGATCCGATTCATCAACTTCTCGGTTCAGTCCATGCTTAGTTGCTTACTCAATAATACACGTACATATTGATTTACACATTCTCTTACCGAATTCACAAAATTACGACAGCATATTTCCCCAAAGCTCCTAAAATCCCAACCGCGGATTTCCATAATAACGAAAAATGGAACTCTCAATGCAATCGTAGGTCCACAATTTCCTCCAGAGTGGAGCCCGTAACGTAGAAGTGATATATCAACCGTCGATCTCCCTCGAGTGAGAAGAGTCACAAGAACTCTACAATACCGTCCCATTAACAGCCACATGTCTAATCCTATCTTCCGTTTCCAACTTTACCCTTCCATCTCCTACTCATCCCTGTCTCTTCTCACCGGCAATCTCATGTGATCAGTTATTTTATCCATCACTTTTTCTCTCACACAGTCACGCACTGAATTTGTAATATTTTTGTGGGTATTTCTTCAGATCCAAATCCAATCCCATAATTTTCTCCTCTTTCTTCTCCATAGATATCTACCGTTTTCTTGATTTTGCCGGGACCTTCTTCTCTCGCTTTGATTTCAACAGGTTTGCTTGACTTTCGCTTTAATTTTGGAATTTTTTCATGTAAAATCTGCTTTTCTAAGTTTGATCTGATGCTAGATAATGTGTGAAATTGGCTGATTTTGTTGATATGGGGTGTTTTGGCATCTGGGTCGAGTGGATCAAGGGGGAAAATTTAGGGTTAAGTGGGATATAACTTGTCTATTCAATTCGATTATATTTATAGTTTGGATGGATTTACTTTTTGGGATCTGAATTTGGTTATGTTGGCCAATGCTACGAAGCTGATTTTGATGTCAAACAAAATCTTTAACTGGCATAAAGAATTTTTGCTAATTGAACATTGATCCATTTATTATTTGTAAATTTACTATTGGTTTAATGATTTAAGGGCTTTCATTTTTCCTTAAAGAAAACGTAAGGTTGAGGTTAAAATTCTCATATGTTCTAATTTAGGTTGTTGCTAGGTGATTAAAGTTTTCTGCCTTGTGAATGTTGTGCTTCACTGCTTTGTATAACTGGACAGTTCTGTTTAGATCTTGGCATGGATTTTTGGTATATATCAATGTGGCAGTATGTGAATGGCAGGGTTTGATTGTTTCATGACGATTGGTAGGTAGAGTTTGATATGTTTAGCTTTTCTTTATTGTTTACCTATTTAATACAATGAGCCATCGTCTGCTTTTCTCTTTTTTGGTGTATCTGTTGCTGTACTTTCTATGTAGTTTGTCTCTATTGTACTTTACTTTTTGTTTTTCATCTTCATTGCAGGAGGGAAGGCCATGTGAGTTGTTTGAACAGAAAGAACTAGTTATTTCTTTTGGGTAATTAATCAGCTTATACATTAATTATTTTCTTTGTGGTAAGTAGAAAAGGCTGTCTGAAAGTGAGAAGAATGGCAAGGAACGGGGTAATTGCTTATCAGTTTTCTCTTCTCCTATCTCCTGTCGTTTCTTTTTGGGAATGCAGTGTTCGTAAAATGAGTTATTCCTTCAGACCTGAGTGGGTGTAGGTATAGGTGTCGTGTATACATTGTTATATAAGTTTTCAGCTTGAATTTTGTTTATCATTAAGCATTAAATAACGAGTTTTAGAAGAACTGGGAATATATAGCTAATCAAATATCCGAACGTCTTAAGGAAGTTTTATTGGGCACGAAAAGAGAATATTGAGAAAACGTGTGCTGTAGTATTAGAGTCAAGGATAACATGGAGTGTGCTAAAATACCAGCTGGTGCTAGAAAAGCCAAGAAGAAGCAGGTAAAGGATGAGTTAGATCGTATTAAACAGGCTGAGAAGAAAAAGAGGCGCTTGGAGAAGGCTCTGGCCACTTCTGCAGCAATCCGTTCTGAACTTGAAAAAAAGAAGCTGAAAATGAAAGAAGAACAGGAGAGGCTTGATGAAGAAGGTGCTGCAATAGCCGAGGCAGTTGCACTGCATGTTTTACTTGGTGAAGACTCGGACGATTCATGCAAAGTTATGCTGAAGAAGGATGAGGAGCTTACCTCGTTGGATAATGATATCAACTTCAACTTTGTTATTGGTGGAAGACATGCAATGGTTCCTCATGATGATCTCTCGAACTATTTGCTTGAAGGATCTGGCTGGGCTTCTGACCCTAATGGATATAGGTGCATGTGGAATCCCTGGGACAATTCCAATTTGATCGTCCCATCTGGACCACTTGGTAAAAATTTCCACCCAAAATATTTTGAAGAGGAACATTGGGACACTGCTGATTTATCTGCTGGTCTTCTTGCTGCTCAGGCTGTTTCATCACTTCAAATCACTGATGACGCGCGGGTGGATACGTATGTCTTCAACCAGATGTTAAGAGGTTAAAATAAACAGCAGTTCGCGTGTGGTCAACTTCTTGTTTCCTGTGTTAGGTCTGAATAATGCCCTGTATATATTTCAAGGGAGCTCACGTCTATTTTTCAATTTTTAAGCTTGGATTTTTATTGACATTTGTTCACTCTTTGTGATTCAAATTCTTGTTGGTTGTTTCTGTTGGCTTCAATTTTCGATATGTTGACTTGAGTAGTTCCATTGCCGTGGTGACTTCCCTAGCTTGGCTAGAGGACACCATCTGACAATGAAAGCATCCAACTATGTGATTGACTCAATTCATCAACTAATGTGCAAAACTCTGGCTGATTCTGAGTTAAATCATACAAATTCAGCTTGTTAAACAGTGATTCTACCTGAACAAAGTTGGAACCTTATAAAATACGACCTTTTATTGAAAACGAGGTGGAATATAAGTTATTTAAGGCACATCCCAAGGC